AAACTTCGTGGAAGCATCAAATCTGGTGATTGGTAGACTACTGCTATTTGTGAAAGCATCAAATCTGAGCCATTCTAAAAACTGCATGCACATAAAGTTCATGGGCCACTCCCAAAATTATATGCTTACAAATTCATTGCCTAACCTAATTGATTCATTCCGCAGATGACAGATCCAACATAGTTTGTTTCTCCTAATTATATACTTGTAAACAATTCATTTTCAGTCCGATTGACCTAAAGCTATTGAAATTGAAAACAAACCATTCTTTCTCAGTATCAATAAAATGGGAATACTTTAACAGCCAAAACAACTAGATGCAGAGTTCCAATTCATTTACTACAATTACTCTCTCATGAAAGATTAGTATATGCAGGATATGACATCTAGAAAGCAACAGAGAAAAAAGAAGACAAAAAGAAAGAAAACATAAAGTAGAAGCACTTCAAATTCCACTAAACTTTTGGTTTTCACAGTAAAAACAAGACAATTGAACAAATCTCCCATACCCCAAATCAATTCATTTATTCTTCAATAGTCTCAACTACCTCAAGAAACATAGTTTTAAGGGATAATTACATTTAGCTCTCTTGTAGACTGCCTAAATGATAGGGACCTTTTCAATAGTTTCAAATATAACATTGACTTTCCCTTTCGGTGTTTACTTTAATCCGAAGGTGTTAAATGAATATTATACCCATTGTACTTTTATTATTTTTAATGTAAATTCTATGTTTCTTTATGAACAAAATAGTCTTTTCAAGCTCTTTAAGGGCATTATTGGGTTTTAAATAAATATCGAGCATGACAAAAACAGACAATGTCAGATTGTAAGGTCAGTGTTAGTAAGACATGAACCAGGGGAGACGTCAAAAGTTATATTCGAAAATAGAAGAGAGGTTTCCGTTATTTGAGCAATCTATAGTGGACATAAGTGTAATTATCCCTAGTTTTAATCAACTATTTCACATACATAAACACATTTCTTATGATTCCTGACAACATTACCAGATCTCATACCCAAACAACCTTCTAAATTACACAAAAGAAGCTAGAAATGCAGTGAAATATAAACCAAAATCTAAAATTTTCATTCAAGAAAAAGGCTTAATTAACAAACACAAACACACAAAATGCTTACTTGCAATGAGTTGCAATAGCAGCAAGGCCATCAGTGCTGAACCCATCACAGCTCAAAAGCGAAAGAGCTCGGAAATTCGGAAACATTGTTGCCAGGAACTCCAAGCTCTCATCACTCACTGCCGTCCTCTTCAGCCTCTATTCCTCAAGAAAAGGGTAAGCCCTCGAGAACACCACCAGCCACGAGTGAATATCAGCTCCCCAATTCTCCGGAACCAAATTGAAATCCGAAAACGGGGGATTCCCTTTCAGGGTCACGCTCCGAATCTTGGGAAACCGCCGGACAACAATCTCCGGCGAGACCGAATAACAGTTGCCGATAAACACACGAGTCCGACTCAATCGCTCGGCGTTGTACCAATGTTTTCACATAAGTGAGACTGAGCTTCGATCTTTGTGTGACTTCACAAGGGACATAACTCGTTCCACGACCTGGTCCGGAAATGGCAAAAAGCAACGTGACTCGGATGAGTCGAGCGAGTCTTTTCTCTCTGTATTTCGATCCATATTTAAAAAGTAATTATTTTTCGAATGAGAAACTTAGAAATACTGACTAAACAATTAGTAGAAATCACTCATCAAATCAATCCAAGGGATGCTTCAAGTGCTAGAACAGTAGAACCTTGTGCTGGAAAGGTTTAGAGAGAGGTTTTCAAGGAAAGTTCCTTCAAATATTGTACTACTAACAGAGTAGCTTCAATAATTATAAAAATAATCGATACTATTTACTCACAATATGTGTGTGTGTGTATATATATATATCTCTCATTTCAGTTGTAGGACTGAAATATATAGGTCTCTCTCTCCTCCACACACACACACACACACACACATATATATATATATATGTGTGTGTGTGTGTGTGTGTGTGGAGGAGAGAGAGACCTATATATTTCAGTCCTACAACTGAAATGAGAGATCTCCCATAGAAACAGCTTGAAGGTACGTAACAAGATTTATACTTTATGGACATTAGGACGTAGACATATTAAACACAAACACGTATATATATATATGTGGAGAGAGAGAGAGAGAGAGATTAAGGAAAGTTTGGAGATTTGAACAAATCTCTGATGTTTGTAAAAAAAAAAAAAAATAAATAAAAATCTCGGATGAATCGCTCTGGGTTGGCCCAACTCAACAGCAGAAATATTGGGCCCAGACCATCCCACCATGCTCTCACTTAGGCCAACTCTTCAGTCGAAGAGTTGGGCCGAAAGCATCCCAACCATGGATTTCATGTCACAAACATGGTTATTTTCTTCGAATTCTGTATGGGGCTTTTGTCAAAACTATACACACGGAGGCAAATAAAATTTGATCATTTTTAAATCTATTGATTTAAAAACTACTTTACAACTTGGGCTCAAAACTCGCCGAATTTTTCAAAACAGTGTCCATCGTTGTTCCCATTTATATAATCGGTTTCTCAACACCGCCCCAAACAAGGTGGGGCTTGCCGGGATAAGAACTATAAGGGGCCGAACCGGTCGGAATGAGAATTTTTATCATCTCTAATATATATTTAATTAACTTATTTTAGTAATATATCATAATATGTAAGAATAATTTAATAAATTTATAATATATTCGGAGTGAGGCGGGGACAACCTTTCCTCGAAACCATACTAAAACCTGTTTAGTTTTTCAAAGCAGTTTCATTTCCATAATTAGTTTTCTAAAAAGACGAGGCCCAGGGAGAAAATTTTTGCTATCCTTAGTACAATGGTAAATCTAACACTATAAGATTGCCTTTAGATTGTGACCATACCCTTGCTTATGTTACTAACTTGCTACTACTATATTCTTTTGTATATGTGGGTATTACATGTTAATTGTTTTCTCCAAAGAAATAAGATAACCATCGTATCTACAGTAATTTTTTCTGCAGAGAATTTATAATTGATGATACCTCCTATTTTATGTACAAATTAGCCTCTATTTCGTAAATAAAAGATTACCAATTACAAAAAAAAAAAAATAAAAAAAAAAATGATCTTCACACACGATTGACCAGTGGGTAATTTATATTTAACGCAGAATAAATAATACCGAATGGAATGATATGGAATAGACAATCAAGAGATGCTTTATAGACGGGAAAATCATGACATCTTCTACTTCAAACTAAGATACCAATCACTTTGTATCTGATCGATCACAAATTCCCATCCGCATGCTATGTTTGGAAGGGGAAAAAAAGTACATGAAAGGGAAAGGGAAAGGGCAAGGGTTGTGGATGCTTTGAATATTATTTTATAACATTATCACTTCCACTAGTAAAAATAAAGTCACATCTCATATGACAGGCTTTAATAAAACTTGATAACAATGTTTTTTTATTTTATTATTGATTTTTTTTTTTTTTTTTGCCCCTTTCTCCTTAATTTGTAGTTTTGAAGGGACACTATTTTGCGTCAAGGAGGTGAGATGACTTTGTCAAAAATATATATTATTTTTTGCAAGATAAGAAGTGCTAGATGTTAAATTAGTAAATGCATAGAGTTGAAGTCTAACATTCCAAGACTACGAGACATCTGTTTGTCAAAAAATTATTAATAAGGCAAACTTATAATTGTTATAAATATTATATTCAAAACTAAAATAAAAATAACACAGGGGGGGCACAAGCACCGAAGATGTTTCAAATCAATGAACAAACTCTTCAAGTAATGTAACAGATTATAGTTATGTCATTCATTTTAGGAGGATTCAATTGTGTTTCTTACTAACACGAAATGAAGACCGAACAAGAAATTAAAAAATGTGAACAAAAATCATCTAAAGAGTGATTAAGATAAAATATATGACTCAACACGCATCTGTATAGGAACTTCCTCCAAATTTGTCTGCAAGCAAACATCTTTATGATTTTTTAATTTAATTTATAATTATTTCCTTTCAAAATAAAACAGAAACTAAAGGACATTACAGTTGTTTTTGAAGAAGACTATAAATCTAGAAAATTATGTTACGCATTTGATTCTTATCTACTTTTATCAAAAAATCAAAGCTTCTACAATAATTTAATCTTTAGTATTCAATTGGGAACAGATCATAATGATATTTTCCTTGTCACCTTGCATGCAACTCTACCATGACCAGTATTCTTTATAGTATTAAGTATTAAATTAAAAAAGGAAAAGAAAACAACAAACAATTAATTCAATTTTACTTGGGTCAGTTAAATCATTAAAAATAAAAAATAAAAACAAGATTACTCAGTTCACACGTCAGTCAATTATAAGGAAGAGATTTATGTGACATGTTAAGAGAAGCAAAAAAAAAAAAAAAAAAAAAAAATTGACAAAACAGTTAAATCCATTGTTGCATAGGACACATTGATCCCAAATCATTTCACTTATTTTAACATGCATGAATCATAACATTACTCAACTTTATTCGACTTTCTCTTGAATGCATTTAGATGATCGAAATTCAAACAAGTCTTAAATGCATTCAAAGAGAGTCTTGTTCGGTTTTGAGCCTTGCTCTCAAGTGCGGCTCAAACCGGTCCCACTTAAATATATTCGGGGATAACCTTGTTCGGCTTCTGGCCCCCCTTAAGTGCCTTGTTTGGCTCGCCTTTGATTGTCTTCAAACAGAGAATATATTTCCCATTTGTGGGAGATGGTTAGAAGTTCCCTATATATACTCTAATACTCTTGCATGCCATCATCATGAAGTCCTCAATCTTCTCAATCCCCACTACACCTCTCTAAACATCTCATACATACACCACTTATTTGTTTCGTCCACCATTTTCTTTCTTCACCCCTGCCTTTTCTTCAACCCTGTTTCCCTCTAACGTACCTACTCTGTCTCATCACAGTCCAAAATACTGAAAAAACAGAGCAAAAATGGCCGGCGGTGGCTTTGTTCCTGGTCCTGGTGACGGAAAGGAATATCCCGGCAACCTTACTCTATATGTTACTGTAGCATGCATTGTTGCAGCCATGGGTGGCTTGATCTTTGGCTATGACATCGGGATTTCCGGTAAATAGCCCATAATATATTAATTCATAGTTTTTACTGAACAACGTAAATCTTTGTATTCTGTGGTGGATATTTATTTTGTGTTTTTAGTTCGCGGCTTTTGTCATAATATACATGTTATCATTTTTTGTTGATGAATATGATACATAGGTGGAGTGACATCTATGGACTCGTTCTTGGAGAAGTTCTTTCCATCTGTGTATATAAAGCACAAGGCCGACAATACGACGAATCAGTACTGCATATTCGATAGCGAGACACTGACAATGTTCACTTCGTCGCTGTACTTGGCTGCACTTCTGTCATCTCTGGTGGCGTCCACGGTGACGAGAAGATTGGGACGAAAATTGTCGATGCTATTCGGAGGTGTTCTATTTTGTGCTGGAGCTTTCGTCAATGGCTTTGCTCAAGCTGTTTGGATGTTGATTGTTGGTCGTATTCTGCTCGGTTTTGGTATTGGATTCGCCAATCAGGTCACTCACTTTTTCTCTCTCTCTTTGTATTGTCTTTCTCTCTCTCTTTGGGTGTCATCAGTCTATTTTTTAAGAGGTTTCATCATGATGGTGCTGAATTCATCACTATCAATGGTAAATTTCATTTTTGTGTAAAATTCACTCGTAAGTTTTCCTTCTCTTCTATAAAAAGTGTTATTTTTGAAGAATCGTGACTCATGAAATGTGTTATGTTTGGGGAACCGTGACTCATGTAATTTTTCAAATATGACACTTTTTATGAGACAGAGGGAATGAATTAACTTCACCATGGATAAAAATGGGTAAAAACATGAATGGAGAGGATTTTCACCGGAAAAGCTGTTGTTTTGTGTTTTAACATTTGTTTTGTCTTTTTTGGTTCAATGCAAGCTGTTTTAACAGAAATGTTGTTGTTTTGAATTAGTATGAATATTCCAAGAAATTTTGGTGCTGTTTGTCTTTTCAGATGTCTGTTTATGATTATTTATTTATTTATTATTTTTTTACAGCCAACAAGATTTTTTATGTTCATCTCTGATTTCTAATTCAATTAAAGCTTTTTGGTTCAGTTCTAATTTGTAATTTAGTGAACTGGGTTGGAAGAGTGTGTTTAAAACATTACAAAGATGTATTTTTTGCCGCGAATTTGACTCTGACAATTTAATCTAACTATTATCTACTACAAATCTTTTGATCATCCTTCTCTAATCTCTCTGATTATACTCTGTTCTCTCTCTCTTTGTCCCTTTTGGATCAATAGTTACAGAAATGCCTATATGTTTTGAGTTTACTTTTAATTAATCATGACCATGAAAAAGATTAATCCATGCTTAGTTGTTAATACCAGCTAAGACACTTTTTTTTTTTTAATATACAAAGTCATGCGTGCCCTTTTTTTCCCATTTAATATGAAAGATCATTTTCTTGTTGATGCAATAATGTCAAATAGAAACGTTAAAATTCATTTAAAAGCGACTTGATACTAACTCAAAATTTTATTATCTTGTTCTTTGTTCCAAATTGATATCATTTATCTTATCATTGAATCATGACAAGAACATCTGGTCATTGATAAAGACATTTTTTTTTTTTTTTCCTTCTTATTTAATATAAGTATTTATAGGTTTTCTTATTTGAATTTGTAATGACTCTAAGGTCACCTTCAGCTAATTTAAAGTTCAAAAAAATAAAAAAATATGAAATATACACAACATAAATATATATATATATATTCAGGAGATACCACTAAGTCACAGGTTGTTATTACTTGTGTCAAATAATTAATATGTTGTTTTTGATTTGTAACTACAGTCTGTACCACTCTACCTCTCTGAGATGGCCCCTTATAAGTACAGAGGAGCACTCAACATTGGCTTTCAATTATCAATCACAATCGGCATACTTGTAGCCAATGTGTTGAACTACTTCTTTGCTAAGATCAAAGGTGGTTGGGGATGGCGTTTGAGCTTAGGGGGTGCTGTAGTCCCTGCGCTCATTATCACAATCGGATCGCTAGTCCTCCCTGAGACACCAAACTCCATGATTGAGCGTGGCAAAACTGAACAAGCAAAATCTAAACTGAAAAAAATTCGTGGTATTGACAATGTTGATGAGGAGTTAAATGATCTGATTGTGGCGAGTGAGGAATCTAAGAAGGTGGCACATCCATGGAGAAATCTGTTGCAGAGAAAGTATAGGCCTCACCTCACAATGGCCATCCTTATTCCCTTCTTTCAGCAACTTACTGGCATCAATGTGATCATGTTCTACGCTCCGGTTTTGTTCAAAACCATTGGTTTTGGTACTGATGCTTCACTCATGTCTGCTGTGATCACTGGTAGTGTAAATGTTATTGCAACCTTGGTTTCGATTTATGGTGTTGACAAATGGGGTAGGAGATTTCTCTTCCTTGAAGGTGGTGCTCAAATGCTCATTTGCCAGGTATATACTACTTTGTTTCAGATTTATGATTAGCAAAATTTTCTTGAATCATTCTGTGACGTCCCATGTTGCCTGGATGGAAAATTGCTATCACTTGTATGTGTGGATGCCTCCTAACTATGTAGATGCATTTTGAAAACCTTGAGCACGGAGGAATCACGGAGGAATGTGCAAGGGCCATTTCTACATAGTGTGGGCCATGACACATACTAATGATGTACACGTTATGCTATTTATTATTATTATTTTTTTCCTTCCTATAAACAGATTGTTGTTGCAATTTGCATTGCTGTAAAATTTGGAGTAGATGGGAACCCTGGTGAATTGCCCAAGTGGTATGCAATCGTTGTGGTGCTGTTCATATGCATCTATGTTGCCGGATTTGCGTGGTCATGGGGGCCTCTAGGTTGGTTAGTGCCTAGTGAAATTTTCCCTCTTGAAATCCGGTCTGCAGCGCAGAGTTTGAATGTTTCAGTGAACATGATCTTCACATTTGCTGTTGCTCAAGCGTTCCTAGCAATGCTCTGCCACTTGAAGTTCGGTTTGTTTATCTTCTTTGCATTTTTCGTGGTGGTGATGACCATATTTGTGTTCATATTCTTGCCGGAGACTAAGGGCATCCCTATTGAAGAAATGTCCATTGTATGGAAGCAACACTGGTTTTGGTCCAGGTTCATGACTGATGTTGATTATCCTTTTCATGGAGGCATTGAAATGGGCAAGTGATGCATACATGGGACATAACTTTAATTGTTGATAAAAATCTTAGCTTTGCTAAGCTTTTCTTTTCTATTTTTTGCTATATTTACATGCTATTGGTCTGTGTTGATAATTATATGAAATGGTTTAAATTGTATGCCTCAATTACATGCCTCTTTGCTTTATTTAAACTGAAATCGTATACTAATGTGAAATGTGCATTGTAAATTTGTATAATGGACAACTTACAAGGCTAAATATAAAGTAGTACTAAAATTAGGTTAGAATATGACTTATCTTTTTGGCAGCATTCTTAGCAGAAAATTTCCTAGTTAGGAATCATGAAGGAATTATAGATGAGTTAACAATGTTTGGCAAGTTAATTAAAATAAAATCACTAACAACTCAGATAATATGACATTTTGGAAACGATTAATATTAAAAGAACACGAGGCACAGTGGATAGAAGAGTGATGCTAAGTGCAGTCGTGACGGAGTGCTTAAATTAGTGGGTTCTGCATAGCACAACTTTTGAAGAATCCCAAGTTGTTACTGTTAAATAAGGATAATGGCACGGGGCAAACATTGGATGGAAGTTTTGTGACAAAGAAGACTTCATCCAAATAATGAATGAGCCATTCTGGAATTTCGATCACAACTTTTCTTCAAGTGGGAATCGAATTTCACATGCTTTCGATAAAGAGTCAAACAATTTTTCATGTCTGAAATAATGAGAGATCAAAAGACATTTTCCATGTTCCTCTGGAACTTCTATGAACGAAGAGTGAATCAATTTTGATCACGGTCTTATGAATGAAGCAAAGGACCACCTTGCATGAACACCACAGTTTCAATTCAAGCACTTATTAGGATGTGAAAGTTTGTATTAAAAATAACCTGTAAATAGGTTTTACTTGCTCCTTTATCCAATTTTTATTTATTTTAATTTTACCGAAATAAAACTAAAATTAATTGCAAGTAAAGTAAATAAAGTTTGCGAGATGACACCAGGATTTTTAGCGAGGAAATCCCGATTGGTGGAAATCAACCAATCGTTATGGGAAAAATCTGTGAGATATATTTTGTAATTGGCTAATTTCGATGTCAAAACAAGTCCGATCAAGTTTTTACATTCTGTATTTTTCAGTACGAAATTTCAAAGATTAAAGATCGGATGCGGCTTTGAAGAAGGTCAAGTGTTCATGATATACTACACTCCGAGATGATGAGAACAACGCTATAAGAAGTTTTGAGAGGTAGTGAGAACATTTAGGAAGGGTTTTGAAAGGTTCGGAACAAGTTTTTATATTCTGTCCATCTTGAACTGGTTCAAGATCTATCGAACAGGTTCAACATCATCAGAATGCTAAAATTTCAAGACTGACCATCTTGAACCGGTTCAAGAGGACTGAACCGGTTCAAGAATCCGTGGGATTCCTTACTGTCCATCTTGAACCTGTTCAAGATGGCTGAACCGGTTCAAGAAGTCCTAGATGCATCAGGTTTCTAGTTTCTTTTTTCTGATGTTTCCTTTTTGATCCCAGCTTCCTTCTAAGCCCTATGCACGAAATTTATTATATTTTTTAAGGGATTAGGACTTTCAAAACTCTATATAAACCTTGTTATATACATTGGTTTAGGTATGGCTTGAGGGAAAATCAATTCTATATTTTGAGAAAGCCTTCTAGAGAGAGAAAATTCAGAAAATCAAATTTGATTATTCTGAATTTATTTATGAGAGCATACACATATATTCATAAGTGATTCAGTGGTGTTGTTCTCTATCTCATCGGAATCGGAGCTATACTGAAGATTCAGATATTCCAGATGAGAAGCAAGATTTAATTCTTTTACAATCGAGTTCAGATCTTGAAGAACAGAAGTAAGCGCTATCACACTTTGAAAGGGTTGGAGCATTCGTGGAGTGCTGTCTGATCTACCTGCTACTCTTCTACAAATATCAAGTGTAAGCCTGAGATCAAGTTGCTATTGGACGGGGAGTCGCAAAGCCAGAGGATCGTCAGCGGTTGGTGTGGTGTAGAACGATAGGGTGTGAGTCAGAGTCAAAGTTCGGTATACTTTGTTTCAAACATAGTGGATTGGTTTACTTTGGACTGCATAGTCCACGAGGTTTTTCCCATAACAGTTGACGTATTTTATCAACTGGGGTTTCCTCGCTAAAAATCCTGGTGCAATCTCTCTAAACTTAACTTGCTTTACTTTTCAGTATTTATATTTATGATTGTGGATGTTTAATTGATCATGCAATTTAATCAATCATAAATTAAGCAAGTTGACCTAATAATCAGATCTAAGTCATTAAAGGAGTTAATCACAATTAAAATCAACTGTTTCCGCACCCTGCATAACTCTTGTTTCACAAAATCTCGTGAACTATGTCGTTCAGAGCAAAACGATCCACTTATATTGAACTTTGACTAAGACTCACACCCTATCGTTCTACCAAAAACCAATCGCTGACAATCTCTGGCCTTGCAACTCCCTGTCTAACAGCTCTCGACCTCAGATTTAGTCTTGATCTGTGTAGGTAGATCAACAACACTCCATAAATGCTTTGACCCCTTCAAAGTGTGATCGTTTCACCCATTTTCTTCAATTCTGAATTTAATTAAGAATGAAGAGATTTGCTTTTCGGAATTTCTTAATCTTCAATTATGTTCCAATTCCAATGAGATAGAGAACAACAATACTAAATCACTCTTGTGTTTATGTGTATTCTCTCAAAAATAAAATCAGATTAATTTTCTTAATAAAAAACTCTCTCAAACAATTCTCTCAATTAGAAAAATATATATTTTCAAGCCCTAAAAGTTTAAGTGAGAAAACATATATTTATAGATTTTTGAAAACTTAATTATACTTGGAAAACATGTCAATTTCGTGCATAATTAATATGGTAAAAATCTATACACAATAGGAAGTCAAAACAGATTAGGAAACTGACTTACCAAAACTGTTTGAAGAACTTGAACTGCTTCAAGTTGTGAATTTTGGAAGAAAATAATTTGAACCGGTTCAGGGTGGTGGAACTGATTCAAGTTGGCCAGACTTGAAAAACACAAATTTTGAAAGTCCAAAATGTCTTCACACTCTCCTACCTTTCTAAAGCGTTGTTTTCATCATCCCGGAGTGTATCAAAGCATTAATACTTGAACTTCTTCAATTCCGCTTCCAATCTTAAATCTTAAAAATTCAAACTGAAAATTTACAACTCGATCGGACATGTTTTGATAATAAAAATTTTCAATTACAAATTTATATCTCACACTTATAAAGTAGGAAATGGAATTAATCATTTTTGTCACTGTTGTGCAAATAATTTAAGAAAGAGGTATCACATGACAAACACACTACTATTCATACTACTATTCAATTGGATCACCTTTGCATCTCAGATCACCAATTTTGGATATGTTTCTGGATAGAAATGGATAAGTGCTAATATTTTATCAGTCTTTTTATTTTTATTTTTATTTATTATTATTTTTTCATTAATAAAAATATAGCACAATGGAGTTTGTTATTGAGTTATATTGAGCAAAATGGATTTTTTTTTTTTTATTTTTTGGAAAAAAAAAAAATTGTTTGTTTGGAAACAATGAAACCGATTCAACTCAACATAGGACGTACTAGTAATAGAATTATGTAATTTGTAACTTTTAGATGTGTCACGTGCGTTACAAATTGATAAAATAATAAGCAATTGTGAGATATTAATTATTTTTTGGCAATTATCGTAGATATAACAAGTTCAAGTTGAGTTGTAATTATAATACTTGTTTTACAAGTCATCGAGGTTGATTGGGACTACATAATTTGGAAGAGGGTAAGAACACCATTATAGGAAGGAATATGAACAAGGTTGGACATTCTATCTTGCCATATTGATCTACAATTCCAGTAAGAATGAAACAAGGCTGAAAGAATTCAAAATTCAAGTCTGCTAACCTTGAACCGGTTCAGTTTCCTTGAACCGGTTCAAGATGTTCAAGTTTGATACACTGCCAAACTTGAACCGGTTTAGCTTCCTTGAACCGGTTCAAGATATCCTGTTTGCAATACACCTTCAGTTTCCTTTTTCTAAATAATTTCCCAGTTGCTCTAGAATTGTACCAAAGCCTATGCACAAAATTTACCTTATTTTCAGAGGGGTTAGGTCATTCTATACTCTATATAAACCATGTCATATTCATTGGTTTATTTCACGGCTTTTACATTATTCTTAAGATATTATTCAAAGCCTTAGGAAGATTATTTTTTTCAGAAAATCAAAGTTGATTTTTTTTGATATCTTTCTAGAACACATAAACATAAACATAGAGTTTAGAGTTATGGTGTTCGAATCTTGATCGTGATCATACAGGAGTATCAACATCGATCAGATAAAACAGATCTTCTTTTACATAATTTAGACGATTGAAGAATAGAAGTAAATGCAATCACACTTTGAAAGGGTTAGAGTATTCATGAAGTGTTGTCTGATCTACCTGCTACTTTTTTACAAGTATCAAGTGTAAGTCTGAGGTCAAGTTGCTGTTGGACGGGGAGTCGCAAAGCTAGAGGATCGTCAGTGATTGGTGTGGTGTAGAATGATAGGGTGTGAGCCAGAGTCAAAGTTCTGTATACTTTGTTTCAAGCATAGTGGATTGGTTTACTTTGGATTGCATAAGTCCACGAGGTTTTTCCCATTACAGTTGACGTATTTTATCAACTACCTCGCTAAAATTCTGGTGTCATCTCTAACTTTATACTTTAATTTATTTTATCTGCATGTGATTAATTGTTTAACTGCTAAAATAAGTAAAGTTAATAATGACACAGATCTGTTTTAAACTTTCCTATATACATTCTGCTGCGTACGACTCATAGATTGGTATTAGAGCCAATCTCTATACATTGAGTTGATCCTTGTTGGAAACTTTAGTTCTGTTTTCAAAAAATTGTTTGAATTATGTCTTATGCGTTAAAAGAAGGCGGTTCTAATCAATGTGGTCATTAGTTTGAAGGAGATAATTGCAATTTTTGGAAATCAAAGATGAGAGCCTATTTGCAAAATTCTAGTGGTAAAACTTGGGCAATAGTTGAATCTGGCTATACACCTCCTATAGTAGATACAACTGTGGATGGTAAAATAGTCAAAGAGTTAAAAGATACTTTTGCTTCTACTGCTATTGAAACTGAGCGTAATGATGCTAATGGCAAAGCTTTATATTCAATTATTAATTCTGTTGTTCCATTTGAATATGCTAGAATTTCTGATTGTAAAACTGCTAAAGAAGCTTGGGATATTTTGCAGGTTACTCATGAAGGAACTTCAAAAGTGAAGTTGTCTAAAATTTAGTTGCTCTCTCATAAATTTGGCAACATTTTTATGAAAGAAGATGAATAATTTTCTGATTTTTATTCTAGTCTTCTTGAAATAATTTCTAAACGCGTCACTTAGGGAAAAAAGTTAGTGATAAAAAAATTTGTGAGAAAATCTTAAGGTCTTTACCTAAAAGTTTCCAGAAAGGGTTGAAACCATCTCTGAACATTGGGATTTGACTACCTGTCAAGTTGATGAGATGGTAGGTTCATTAAAAACTTTTGAGATGCAGAATTTTGATTTAAGTCAGAAAGAGAAAAATCTTGCTTTAAAATCTACACAAGTTGAGAATTATGTGAATGATGACTCTGATGATGATATTGCATTCTTGTCAAGGCAATTCAATCAGATTTTGCAAAGGCAACAGAGGAGAAGGAATAGCAGCAACATGGCTAATCCTCAAAATTTTGACAAGACGTCAAAGTTTAGGTTTAATGAGAAAAAAATAGAAGAATTAAAAGAAACTAAATTTACTTGCTGGAATTGTGGTGGCAAAGGTCATGCATCCAATGTTTAACCTAGTCCTAGGAAAGAACAAAAGGATAGGAATAAATGAAAAGCAATGAAAGTTTCTATGATTGAAAAGTCTACTTTAAGTGTTGGTGATTCTCCTTAGGATGATACTAATGATTTTTTTTATGTCTTTTTTTTTGATAGGGGTCCTCATGTCGTTCATTTATCTGACTCAGACAGTTCAGATAATGAAGATAGTGAAGTTCATGATGAAAATGTTGAAGAGGATGAAAAGGACGATGAAAGACTGAAGAAGATGGTCATGGAAACCATTGAGAACAAACAGGCAATCAATAAGCTAGCAAAAGAGCTTATCCAAGCAAAAGAAGAGAATGAAGATTTCAAGAAACAAATTGCTGAAAGCAAAAGGAAGGCTATTGAAAGCAAGTCTGTCATCATTGAGCTTGAGAAACAGATCATCATTCTTGAGGATAAGGTAAGTGTTGCTAACTCATTAAAAGAATGTCTTGCTTTGAAAAATGATTATCTTGAAATTGAATTGAAATCTGAAAAAGATAAACTGAAAGGGTTCAATATGAGTCAAAATAATTTAAATAAGATAATCAACATGGGTAAGGATGTGAATGATAAAATAGGTTAGGATTTATTAAAGGTTCTTCTAGTAACCAACGTAAAACAACTTTTGTTAAACCTGCTTTTATGCCTAAACCATGTTTGCCTGATGCATCACATTCTGCTATGTCTTATGTGCCAAAATTGTTGCATTGCACTTTTAGTAGAAAAAATGGACATAAGTATAACTTATGCCTTCACAGGAAAAAGAAAGATTTTTCTAAAACTGATTCTCATACTAAGACCAAGGTGCATTCTAAAGGAAAAAGAAATTGACACCTAAGGTTTCTAGAACTGAAATTTTGCCTAAAAATGAGGTAAAGAAAGAAAAAGAATTTCAGGAAATAAGAGTGAGAACTGTGTGAATCAAAAAGTCTAATTTGATCAATTATGTGCCTGTTGAGTCCATGGAACGAGTTTCCAAGAGGATTTCACCCTCAAACTAAGTTCTACAAAATTCAGTGATCATGGCTTGTAAGAAAATTTGGTGGCCATTGGATCACTTGTTAGGGTTTGGTTAGATTTTGAATTTCTAATCATAATCTTCTTGATATATGTGTAAAAAAATTCTTTTGAAGAATTTATGATCTATCTTTGAATGTAAATAAAGACACATGATAATTTGAATAAAAATAGATTCTTGGTCTGTAATCTATACAGTGAAAGATGATTTGCATTGTTTAGGAGATTTTAGATTTAAATCTCTTAAGTTCATAGACTTTTGTTACTAGTCCATCTTTGACAAATTTGGTTGAAAATCTTTTGATCTGTTGACTAGGGTTTATTGTTCACAAATGCTATAAAGGTTATTGTTTAAAAAAATAGGAGCTAAAAACAAAATAAAGAGATTGAAAAAAAATATTTAGCTTGAAAAGAAAAGAAGAAAAAAAAATGCTGAATAAATTGCTGAGGAAAAGGATGCCTATTGAGATTTGATCGAAAGCTCCCATTAAACTGTGAATTGAAGCGAAAAGTGGAGATAAGTTAAGTTGAGAAATTGCTGAATACTCTTTAGAGTGAAAGTCGCCTTGCTTAAAAAAAAAAAATTGCTTAAAATAATTTTATCTTGATGCTTTTCGATCAATAAGGTTTAGACAATGATCTGTTGAAATTCAACTAAAGATGGATTAGATTGGATTTTACACACACACATGAACTTGCTAGATTAATTTCTAAATCTGTCAGTAAATTTTGCGAGTTTGATTTCATGTTGTGATTACTTTCTGAGAGTTGAAATTATCTGAAAAGTCTGCGGAGTCGAATTTGTTCTCTGAGATACTTTTAAAATTCTCTCAAAGGGTTTTGAATCGTGTGTTGACAGGATGATTTTAATGATTGTTGATTTTGTTTTTTTTGTTTTATAAAAAAAAAAGCCAAGAAAAAAATTGAAAAGTTTGAAAAATTCTAAAATATTTTGATTTTTAGGATTTTAGTTTGTTTTTGTTGATTGATTTTGGGGTGAAGTGAAGATCCATACAAGGTTTTCTACAAACACTTTTGGGGTTGCACACCAAGTGTTTGATAAAATTACTGAACAAGTTACACTTCAAAGCAAAAAATCTTGTGAAGAACATGCCTCCTAAACTATCTAGAGAAGCTAAAGGAAAAGGAATTGAGACATCTAGACCACCAAAGAGGTCTAAAATTTGCATCCCCATTCAATAACCTCAAAGTAGTTCTCAAGTTCCAAGCATGGCTCCTATTCGATATACTTCAGTTTCTAGCACTGGAAGGATTGAATTTATAGCATCACATTTTTACAATGAAGAATCTTGGACAGTGTATAACTCTGTTTACAAGGATTGGCCAATCAAAACAAAGAGAAATGTTAATCTCCAGAAGCTTTAAGACATTGCGAGACAAGCCCTAGTGAACTACATCAAAGCTCATCATTGGCTTTACTTCACTAGACTTGGCAGAGGCATGTATTGTCCGAATATGATTAGCTATTTCTATACTAATATCCGTGAAGTTCATGACTCCCACTTTGTTGTATCTTTTTTTGGGAATGATTATACAGTTAATGAGTAGGATATTGCTTATATTCTTGGCCTTCCGGAAAATCGTCAATTGACAGGACAAACTCTGCCTTTGACAATTACAGGCCCTGATTTTTCCCGGATCGCACTAAAGATCTGTTTTCCTAACTCTTCTTTGAATATAGATATTATCACAACCTAATTTCTAACAGATGAAGCTGTGTTCTTCAACTTGTTTGCTATGGCAAATATGGGTTACTTCGGGAAGAAGGATGAATTGACACTGGAGCGGGCTCAAGTATTGTATTTTCTTGCCAACAATCAAAATATTTTGCTTGACCACTCTATTCTGCAGCTTATCATTGCTCATTACAAAAAAAATTCCTTCAAGTACTCTTCTCCATTTCCAATGATAATAATGGAAATTCTGAAAACAAAGAATGTGTCGATTCCTCCAAAGGCTAATCATAAGCCTATCATGACTGAGTTAGACCCTCATGCTTTGAACAAATCAAAAACTGCTCTGGAGAATGCTAGAAAGGCGAGGAGATCTGTTGATGAGGAACCGTCATAAATTTCAAAAACTTCTCAGTTGTTTGCTTTAAAGGGAGTTTTCATGAAAACTGATGCAAATCTTATGTATTCCCATCTACTTCAGCATCAGAATTCATTCTTTGAGAAGATAATGGTTGAGATTCGAGATCTCAAATTATAGGCAGCTCAGTTGCAAGGACAACCATCTAGGATTCCGGAGGAAGATGTCTATAGGCCTGTGCCTCCAGATCTGTCTCTGTAAGCTAAAGACGAGGGAGATGATGAAGATGAGGTTGAGCATACTGATGAAGATGAGGAGGATGGGGATGAAGAAGCAAGTGGAGGAGATTAGGGATGCTGTTTCTTATCTCTGAATTGTTAAGGGGCCATGGTGCTGCTTTTATTGTTTTTTTTTTTTTTTTTTTTTTCCTCATGCATCATGACATCATGTTTTGTTTATTATTGAACAACTTGTATTTGTTTTTGGATATTTTTAGAATATGCTTTCATAGACTTTATGATGCTTATCCGAATTATGATTTACTTGATTTATGTGCATTGGAATTTACTATCCTTTGTCAATTTGTTCCAAAAAGGGGGAGTCCAGATGTGATGTTAAGGGGGAGTTTTTTCTTAAATTTTTTCTTTGGATTTACTTCAGGGGGAGTTTTTAAATTTTTCTTTATTAAACTTTACTGGTAGTATTGCCTGATAGTGTGCATGAAGCAGGTCAAGAGTTGCATCTAAGAAGAGCACAGTTTTCATTTGTTTTCCTTTAAACAAACAATGTAATTTACTTTCCCGCTTTGGGTAGATTGCAAAATTGTTTTTAAGGTTTTGCCACGAAATTGCCAAAGGGGGAGATTGTGAGATATTAATTATTTTTTGACAATTATCGTAGACATAACAAGTCCAAGTTGAGTTGTAATTGTAACACTTGTTTTACAAGTCATCGAGGTTGACAGGGACTACAGAATTGGGAAGAGGGTAAAAACACCTTTATAGGAAGGAATATGAACAAGTTGGACATTCTATCTTACCATATTGATCTACAATTCCAGTAAGAATGAAACAAGGCTAAAAGAACTCGAAATTCAAGTCTACCAACCTTGAACCGGTTCAGCTTCCTTGAACCAATTCAAGATGTTCAAGTTTGATACACTGCCAAACTTGAACCAGTTCAGCTTCCTTAAACCGGTTCAAGATATCCTGTTTGTAATACACCTTCAGTTTCCTTTTTCTAAATAATTTCCCAATTGGTCTAGAATTGTACCAAAACCTATGCACAAAATTTACCTTATTTTTAGAGGGATTAGGCCATTCTATACTCTATATAAACCATGTCATATACATTGGTTTATTTCACAGCTTTTACATTATTCTTTAGATATTATTCAAAGCCTTAAGAAGATTATTTTTGCAGAAAATCAGAGTTAATTTTTCTGATATCTTTCTAGAACACATACACATAAACACAGAGTTTAGAGTTATGGTTTTCGAATCTTGATCGTGATAATACAGGAGTATCAACATCGATCAGACAAAAGAGATTTTCTTCTATATCATTCACACGATTGAAGAACAGAAGTAAATGCAGTCACACTTTGAAAGGGTTGGAGCATTCGTGGAGTGCTGTCTGATCTACCTATTACTCTTCTACAAGTATCAAGTGTAAGTCTGAGGTCTAGTTGCTGTTGGACGGGGAGTCGCAAAGCTAGAGGATCGTTAGCGATTGGTGTGGTGTAGAACGATAGGGTGTGAACTAGAGTCAAAGTTCGGTATACTTTGTTTCAAGCATAGTGGATTGGTTTACTTTGGACTGCACAAGTCCTTGAGGTTTTTCAGTTGACGTATTTTATCAACTGGGTTTCCTTGCTAAAATTCTGGTGTCATTTCTAACTTTATACTTTAATTTATTTTATCTGCATGTGATTAATTGTTTAACTGCCAAATAAGTAAGGTTGATAACGACACAGATCTATTTTAAACTTTCCTATATACATTCTGTTGCGTACAACTCACAGATTGGTATCAGAGCCAATCTCTATACATTGAGTTGATTCTTGTTGGAAAGTTTAGTTCCTTTTTTCAAAAATTGTTTTAATCATGTCTTATGCGTTGAATGAAGGCGGTTCTAATCAACATGGTCCTTTATTTGAAGGAGATAATTATAATTTTTGGAAATCAAAGATGAGAGCCTATTTGCAAAATTCTGGTGGTAAAACCTGGGCAATAGTTGAATCTGGCTATACACCTCCTACAGTAGATACAATTGTGGATGGTAAAATAGTCAAAGACTTAAAAAATACTTTTGCTTTTACTACTATTGAAACTGAGCGTAATGATACGAATGGCAAAGCTTTATATTCAATTATTAATTCTGTTGTTCCATCTGAATATGCTAGAATTTCTAATTATAAAACTGCTAAAGAAGCTTGGGATATTTTGCAAGTTACTCATGAAGGAACTTCAAAAGTGAAGTTGTCCAAAATTCAGTTGCTCTCTCATAAATTTGGCAACATTGTGATGAAAGAAGATGAATCTGTAATGACCCAGTTATTTTCTTCCTTTTCCCTTTTTCCCCAAATTTTACGGATAAATTTTTTTTCTGTTGTCTTTTCTTTTCTGTGGATGGTTTTTCGTCGCTTAGTGTCATCTCAAGTGCTCAGAATTGGTTTCTGAGACTCTTTCATGTGAATTGACAAATTCCTTTGAGGACCGAGTCATTTTTTATTTTTCATTTTTGGACACTATGCACTTTTTCGTCTTTTCCCTATTATGTCATTTTCCCTATTTCGTCTTATCTCTGTTTGTCAGTTTTTGGCACAACCTCACTTCTTGTGCTCGGAGTTGGTTTTTGACTTCACATATCCTTATCATGAGTGGTTTATACGAAATACGTATCTTTACTTTTGCAAGAAAGTACTCTGGTTGCTCCCGGTGCCCATAGGGGCATGGATGCATAAATCTTTGGAATTAATTTCATTTCTTGGGGTATTTTTTATAAATATCTGTTGAAGATATTTTATTTCAGGGGCATCTAAGAAAATATCTTTTGGAAGATATTTTCATTCTAGAGCAGTTTCGCAGTTAACCCTTTTTGTAGGGGCCATTGTGCAATTAACGAAAGTTATTGCAAAATGTCTTGTCTGGAGCCTGGATCCTCGTACAGGATTCATTTTCACTTTTTGTTGACTTGTAAATTCATAGAATTCTGTTCTGGTCATTTTTCTCCAGTTTCAGAGTTTATGGACCCGGTTGCTACCGAACTTGTTCAGGGCATAACTTTCTGCTCGGGACTCGGTTTTTGATGCAATTTCTTCCATTGTTCATATTTTCTCATTTTGAATCTTTTTTGTTCACAGAGTTTTGCCGTTTGAGAATGTTTGCTCAAAATCTCCTTTTCCGGACCCGGTAGGGCCCTTTCGGGGTACTTTTTGTGATTTACTATAAATAGGTGCCTTAAAGAAGAAAAATCAGATTTTCTTCTTCTTCCTCCTGTCCTTGCACGACCAAAGGCATCCATGGATGCTCATGGAGCTGCCATCTTCTTTCTCCTCCTTTAACCTATTTTTCCTAAGTGAAAATCCTTCGGCCTTTGCATTTGTTGCTCGCCTCGTCGTGCTCTACCATTACCCCTTATTTGAAACCATTTCTGACCAAATTTTGAGTTTGGGATTTAGTTCAAGTTTGGATTTTCATGGGGCTTCTTGGAGATTCATATAGATCGTGTTGTCCACGACAAAACATAGGAGTTTTGTCGGATTCGGAGCCGTTTCGTTTTGATAGCTTTTGAGATTTTCATCTCAAATTGAGGTAGGGGGTGTTTTAGGATTATATTTGTGTTGTATTGATGATTATATATGCTTATACAACTTGTATGCATGTTTTGTATAACTCTTGGAATTTAATTTTAATTAATTTCTTTGTAAATGATTTAATGCTCAAGGATATGTATGACTTGGAATTGAATTGTAACATTCTAGGAAATTATGCTTGGATATGTTGGTTAACATATATTAAATTTGGCTCATTTGATTAAGAATTACAACTTTTATTTAATATTTATCTTTAGTGAAAGTTTAATTCACATGGTTGTATCAAGTATGAAATCAAGTTGTAATGTGGTATTTAAATAGGCCTTGGCATGTTCTCTAACATAGATTAAATTGAGGGCATTTGGAATTGTTTAAAATTCTAGAGGAAATTAATTAATTAGCTTGATTAATTTTGTTTTAAGTGCTTTAATCACTTAAATTGTCATTTGATGTTATATATGTGACGACCATGACATATCCTTCAATATATATTAAATTGAGGTTATTTGGGATTAACTTGGAATTTAGAGAATTTAACTATTTATGTCTAATTAAATTCTATTTTATTATTCCATGGATTTAATTGCATTTTGGAAGTTGTTTTTATATTTAAATCATGGATTTGGATTTGGTGTATGTTCACTTGATTACTTTTGAGTATTGGATAACATAGTTGTTACTTTTATATTCATGAGAATATGTTTTTCGTTATTGAATATATTGTTGCTATGTGTAAGGAATTGCATACTTTGTATTTGACATCTTTCATGCCATAGTAGTTGTAGACTTTGAGCATGTATTGTATATGTTTCCAAAATTGGGTTGTGCTTAGTAAATGGTTGATATCTTGTATATACATGTTGATATATATACGTTGTTACACAATTTGTTGATTTTGGAAACTTGGGGATGTCGTTGTTGGCTACGGCTAGGACTTGGTTCTAGTACGGGAGATTGTCCCTCTATATAGTCTAGTGCGCACATAAGGAGGTTACCCATGGGCTAGTAACCCTAAAGTAACTATGTTGTCGGTCTGATCCGGCGTGACGTCTGAGCATCCACTTTGTTTGATTTCGTATTTTATTTCAAGTTGATAACTAGATGATATCTGATGAGCACTGAAAAGTACGTATTTAAACCCCTTAAGCTTAGGCATTCTAGTACCTTTATCTATCTTACTTTACCATTTTAGATTTATTTCGTATTATTTCCATTTTTAGGC